TATTATAATATATTATTGAATACAATAATATAGCCAATTTATTAAATTTTTACAGTGTTTAATATTTAATTTAAAAAATTGGAATGTGGCTCTCTTATGTGTGCCGGTCTGTTCTTGCGCCATTCATACAGTTATCATTCACTCAAACCTGATCTGCTTAAAAGTAACGCTGAACAACCAGACATTCATACAATTTATAGTTATAAGTCATACACATAGGATTTGTCTGCGTGTGACGTAACTCTGAAGTCGTTGTTTCAAACTCGACGATTCTACCACACCCTGGCGAACATTGGAGTAGATTCTCAATTTACATACAAATGAAACTCATAAATTTGAGTTTGCAGTACGATGGATATTCATCGTCCTTCACAATTTAAACATTTTCTAAAGAGATTTATTAGTAAATATAAATTGTGAAATAAATTTATATTTTTCATCACCTTGCAACAGCGGACATTAAATAATATAATAATTATTAAAATTTCACTAAACTTTTGCAAATGAAATAAAACATAAATTCGAGATCTGCGAAAATGATGATCCAGTCCAACGTCTACTCATATTATTTTTGCTGCTCCAGAGAGTTCAAAAAAGAGCTCACGTTTTAAAATTTAAATGATCATTTGTCAAGGAAGAAGGTTCTTTTCTGATGGTCTGCGAATCCAAATGAACTGAAGGGCGTTCAACTCTGGAATGTAACTGCGATGTTCGTAATAGGAAGGATGGCCTTTTCAATAAATTAACCTGCCTTAGGAAAATTTTAAATAATCCAAAAAGTGATCGTTATGATTTTATGCTTCAAAATTGTTTGCACAAACTGACCTATTTATAAGTATGTTTGTTTGCAACAAATAAATAAGTGATAAAATGCAGGCGTATCTGTGTGTGTGTGTGTGTTTGAGAGAGAGAGAGAGAGAGAGAGAAAGAAAGAAAGAGAGAGAGAGAATTACGTTTTATTGAGAATGTTAACCTTTGCTTGTTTAACAAAAACAAGCAAATTGTATTCAAACATTCTCTAGAAGCCTAAAATAAAGAGACAACGGACCAAAAAAAAGTCTATATAAATATTTGACGTTCAGTTTGATACAGAAGTCCACATACTTTAAAGTTTAACAAGCTTAATGTCACCGTTTTAAAAAGTTCATAATGGAAAATTTTAAATTTATATTTAACCTGGATCTGAGAATTCATTTCAACCATTTGAAAAGTCCAACAAACTTCTAATGCGTGGAGAAGACGTGGAGCAAAGAAGTAGTTCAGCAGCAACCACTTACACTTGCCGATAATACGTGTATAAAAATTTATCACCATGGATCATTTAACATCAATTTCAATCTATTCCAACAATGAGAATATAATTTGCTATATTATAATATAAAATATTTTCGTCTGAATTGATGAATGAATAAATAGATAGATGGATGGATGGATGGATGGATGGATAGATGGATGGATGGATGGATGGATGGATGAATGGATGGATGAATGGATGGATGGATGGATGGATGGATGGATGGATGGATGGAGATGGATGGATGGATGGATGGATGGATGGATGGATGGACGAATGAAAAAATGGATGGATGGACGAATGGAAAAATGGATAGATTGAGGCTGGATGGATGAATGAAAGGGTGGATGTGTGGATGGATGGTTTGATGGATGGATGGATGGAAGATGCATGTATTGATGAATGAATGGATGAGTGGATGGATGAATAGATAAAAACATAAATAAATGGATGAATGAGTGAATGAAAGGTCAAAGTTTGAATGAAATATTTAAAAGGTTAAACTCGCTTGAAAAGAAGTAACAAAGTATGTTCGTGTCAATTATGTTAATGCGATATCTTCAATTTTGAACTGGTCTTTGAGTAGATTTTAGATTTACATTGAGATGACCAGACAAGATGATGATGTTGGATGTGATGATGACGACAATGATGAAGATTGCGATGGAGATGATGGTGGTAATGATGATGGTGATGTTAATAATATTATCGTTATTGTTATTATGATTATTGTTACTATTATAACCATGATTATTATTATCTATATTATTTTGATTATCTACCAGCGATCTTATCTGTACTAAAAGGAACATCGCATTCTTTTTCTCTGTTCAATCAAGATGGCATGTGAATTTTACAACTCCAGATGAAGGGTTTCAATACTATTTATCATATATTAAACTTATACAAATTCAACTATTCAACACATACACACGCATACACAAGTAACACAGAGACACACACAGACACCAAGACCTCAAACACACACACAGACACCAAGACCTCAAACACACACACAGACACCAATACACCAAACACACACACACACGCGCGCGCGCGCACACACACACACACAAGTACACTGGATATTAATAACAATTAGATATTAAACAACAACAATAATAATAAGAAGAAGAAGAAAAAGAAGAACATAAATTATTAAAAAATGTTTTAACAATTATTAAACATATGCGTTCAACTGCGCCTAACCGTTCTAATTTAACGTGCAAACATCAACTTTGTTGAATTCGAACCAACAATTCAATGATTCGTCATACAATTTGTACTGCAAAATTTTTTCAAACATAAAATTTATGTAAATTATATTTATATTATAATTATATATATATACAATATACCAATAATATATATATATATATATGTATATATTTCTATAATTAAAATTTAACTCTATAATTTAATTATTTTCGATTTTTTTATAATTTGTTTGAATGGCAAGCTTTAAATTCAAAATGACTGAAATTGGTATAACAGTCACATTCAATCTTTGATCATCTCGTCAGCGAACGTTCAACCTGAGAAAGAAAATATTTAAAAACTCTGAAACCTCTTGACGTTTGTCTACATTAACAGTTCTTTTTAACTTGAAAAACATTTTTCTGAAATATCTTTTAAAAAAAAAATTAATTGTAAATTTAATTTGAGCCTATTAAATAAGAACAATGCTATGTCGTCTAACTCTCATACAGACAAAAACAGTATCTCATTTTATTCTACATTAATTGTGTGTGTGTGTGTGTGTGTGTGTGTGTGTGTGTGTGTGTGTGTGTGTGTGTGTGTGTGTGTGTGTATTAGCATCAGCAGCCCCGGTTTAGCTTCGAAAGTTTGAATGTGAGAAAAAAAGCCTTACATAATTTTTTAAAATTTAATAAAAAAAAATAATTCGCGTAAATATGAATTAATGGAATTAGTTAGGTAAAAATTATGTAATAGACTTGAAAGTTTAAAAAAACTTAAAATTTTTAAGTTTCTTCGTTACGCATAATGATTAATTAACATTTAATCAATAAATAAATTGTTGGAGTAATTGACTGATTGATTGATTGATTGATAGATTGAATGATTGACTGACTGATTGATCGACTGATTGATCGTCATCTCATTACACCAACGAAATATCGCATTTCAACTCCATCCAATAAAAAATAACAAACCAACATATATAGATAAAAATATAATAGCCAAGGATCGCAAAAAATTTGAAAAAATTAATAAATTAAATTCTGAGTTTAATTTAAATGAGTGCATTTTAAAGCTCAACACTTGCCAAGTGCACACTTATCAATTAAACAATTGACCCGGCAATTGATTAATTAAACAAACATTCAATTAGGTCTGTGTAACCTATCGCCACTCGCATACATTACATACACGTATTAAAAACTAATACTCTTATGTATTGTATCTATATATTATATATATACATATATATGTGTGTGTGTATGTGTGTGTGTGTATGTGTGTGTATGGTCTGTCATTTGGGGCAGGCAGGAGGAAGAAAGGATGAAGAAGAAAAAGAATTAACCCCAAAAAAACAACGCCATTTTTCCCATATAATGATATATTAAGCTGCTCTGTACTACGAATGATTGTTCTATTTCATTCATCAGGCTGCTTAATATGCGTCTGGTGGTGGAGTAGAGAGTTGCAAAGATGGGTGCCACAATGGGGTGAGTTGAATTTCAAAAGTGGGGTTGATTAGGATTTTAAGAAGAATGGGGGGGGGGGTGTTGATTTCAAAAGTTGACAACCTTTTTTTAGTTCTTCTTGCTTATTTTTGTTATTATTTAATATGAAAACTTTAATAATATTGAACGTTACTTTAAGTTTTTTGTGGTCTGATGTGGGGGCAGCAGACCCGTTACGCCCCACTTTTTCTGCAAGTACGAAGGTTGAAAATGAAAAACAAACCTCCGTTGAATAATAATGAGCGAGAGAGAGAGAGAGAGAGAATGAGAGAGAATGAGAGAAAGGAGAGAGAGAGTTAGAGAAAAGAGAGTGAGAGAAAGAGAAGGAATGTGTGTGAGATAGAGAGAGAGAGTGAAAGAGAGAGAAAGAGAGAAAGAAAGATGGATTTTTACATAGACACATTTTAAATTTTGTACCCAAAACTTTGAGCACGTACAACTTGCGTGAAAAAGTTATGAAATCGAACAAACCGCGGTTATTGTTATGCTTTTTTTCATCTAAATTTATACACCGCAGTTTCAGATAAAAAATAAAGGTTACTGTCTGTTTTGTTGATTAACGATGATTATCTCTATATCCTATCGGTAGGAGAATATGAATTGATTTGATGATGATGATGATCACACACACACACACACACACACACGCACACACACACACACACACACACACACATATATATATATATATATATGTGTGTGTGTGTGTATATATATATATATAAATATATATATATATATATATATATGTGTGTGTGTGTGTGTGTGTGTGTGTGTGTGTGTGTGTGTGTGTGTGTATATAAATGTATGCTATAAATACGCCATGACATTCCTCTTCCATATTATTTGTTGTTTTCGCCTCGCAGCCGACAGACGCACAAAAACGTTCATGTTATAATTTGATATTAAATGCCGGAGAGATTTTTATAACTCAGACTTGTTTTAAAATTTCAAGCGTTTTACTGGCAACAAAAATTTTATCGGCACCTCCCTACATCATGTCATCAACTTCGTTATCACCATCCCTCTTATCATCATCCTCATCATTGTCACCATCCTGTCTGAAATACGCCATTCTCATGGCGATCATCACAGTAGTGTTCAGTAGAGAAACAAGTTCATCTTACGTGTCAGGGAATTCATTTAAAAATTCATCTGGAAGTGCTGTCGGTGTGGTAGCTTCCGACGACAATGGGAAGGATAGTTGGAGTGGCAGCCGGAGAAAACGATCCCTGGATGCAGATTATTTCAAGAACGAGCACGTGTATTGTGTCATTATTGACGCCGGTAGCTCTGGCAGTAGGATTTACATCTACAGTTGGAAAACTGACTTCGTACGGGATGGTGAGGCTTTACCACGTCTTGAAGTATCTGCCGTCGCAAGGAAAGATGGAGGCGTCCATAAACAGTTTGTCGAAAAGAGTGCAAATAACATGCAGGATTATTTAAGTCCTCTAATGAACCATGCAAAGGAGAACATACCGGAAAATCAACACAAATCCACTGATTTGTATTTCATGGCCACTGCCGGTTAGTACCTGCTGTTGTCTTCTTGTTTAGACTACATTATGAGCTTATCCTTAATGGCAGTATGTAACTGAGTTTTGTTGTTCATATAGATGCTGCAAATTCTTACATAATCTGTAGAAGATCTGTTTTTAGCATCGTTAAGTGAAAACTAAACTTAACAAAACTGAACAAAACTGAACAAAACTAAACAAAACTAAACAAACTAACAACAAAACTAGGAATGCGTCTGTTGGTCAAAAATGCAGACGCTGCTATTGATCAAATTCGATCAGTTCTATCGATGAAATCATTCAACCCGTTCAAGTATAAGCCAGAAAATATCAAGATACTCTCAGGTACCTACAAAACATGAGTGTGTGTGTGTTTGTGTGTTAGTTTGTGTGTTTGTGTGTATGCTAGTGTGTGTGTGTGTGTGTCTGTGTGTATGTTAGTGTGTGTGTTTGTTTGTTTGTGCGTGTGTGTGTGTGTGTATATTATGGCTGTTCTTCAAATGATAATTAAAAAAGTTAGTTTATATTTTGTAAGGGGAGCAGGAGGGCGTGTTTGCCTGGGTATCAGTCAACTATCACAAAAAGGTCTTCGCCAGGAGAGGTTCGTTATCAAGCACTCAATGTTTTCTTCTTAATGTTCATAATGCTATTTAGGCTTATGTATAAATTCGTTATTGGCAGTTATTGGTTCATTGGTTGGTCATATAAACAATGTTGTTGTTGTTGTTTTTCAGTATTCATAAATTTTTTTTCTGTATTTTAATTTCTTTCAATTTCATAACATAATACTTATCTGTGTTTGTTTTTAAATTTTTATTGATTAAAACATATTCCAACTTATAAATCTATTATAATATAAAACTAACCAAAAATTACAAATTTTTTAAACAACACTTAATTATTATTGCCCCGTAAAACTTATTCCAACTCGAGCGTTTACTAATAAATGGATCATAAATGATGTTTTTTTCCTGCCATGAGCTATTATTACATGCGATAAGCCATCACGTTTTGCCGGTTAAACGCGCTGGCATCATGTGTCGCTGAAATTATCGCATCCATTAAAACTTAACAAAAACAATCATCAGTTGCCAGTGCAAAAATATATTAAATTTTTGTGGAAACATTTTAAAAGTCAATGAGCAGATAAAAAGTTATCATCAGGAAAAGTCATAATAGTTCTGCGGGATGTTATATAAATTTTATTTTTAAGTTAAAAATATTTTGAAAGAATAATGTGAAAAATGCATGCTGTACTTTCAAGGATGTACTGTAAAGTGAAGGCCGGTTAATTGGACAACATCGGTCAAACTGGTCCGATTAACCGACCTTTATGAAATCATGTGACACCTGAGTTGAATAAACAATCTAAAAAATGCTTTAATTGATTTTTTTAATAACATGTGTACATTTCGTGGAACAAAACAAGATGAACATTAAAAAGGTATTCGAATCTTTTTTTTAAATAAATCAATAGAGTAACAACACGTGCGTCTGTCTAATTGTCGGCAGGCAGCTTTTGTGGCCACCACACACGTTTGCAGTTCGTTAAAACGACTTTCCGTCCATTTTTTGATCTAATTAATTTAAACAAATTCAGTTTGTTTAATAAGCTTTAATAAGATTCGATGTTTGTTCTATAAATTTGCTTTTAATTGTATATATTGCAGTTATAATAAAATTTCACATTAACTATAAAGAGAATGAACCGATGGACCGATTAAACGACTTCTACTGCGTTATTAGTGAACTTTGCTCGTTTAATAGTTATACGTAACGGTAGCACCACGAGAGAATATTATTCTAAACCAACGACAGGTGTCCGTGCAAACAAAACATTCGGCCTGCTGGAGATGGGGGGCGCATCGACCCAGATTGCTTTCATACCTCGAGGGAGCATACTTAACAACCTCTACCCCGTCAGGATTGCCGGTTAAATAACGTTTCAATATTTGTACCAATCGGGCCTCTTTATTGAAAATGCGCATTCAATTGCCAATTAAAACAATCGTTACAAGGTTTAACCAAATTTAAGTTTAAAAATTCATCGAATCTGACTGTGGTTAGTGCAAAATTGAGATTTTATTCATACTATTATTGGCTAATGTATTGTAATATTGTAACAATCATAATTACGAACCGATGACAAAGAATGAAAACTATAAAAATCCATAACTCAAAGTGCTTCCTACCCATCAAGGCGTGCATTACAGTGTGTATGTGAAGAGCTTCCTGCAGTTCGGAACGGATTACGTCAGCAAGAAAATATCAAATATGGTTTGCAGTAAGAAGTTTGAAATGGATGATAAATGTGATAATCCTTGTTTCATCAAAGGTTATTTAATATGGTACCTAGAAATGGGCGCACATAAAAAAGCAAACATCAAAAAAAGTTTCATCGAAATAATCTTTCGTACAAAAAAAGCGTACATTGAAATAAGAGCATGCAAAAATCGCGCATTTAAACGCTAAAAAAATCTCCAGTTGTGTTAGCTTTTTGTTTCAGTGAACAATGTCAGACTTGTTTGATGAACTAGTGGCTACTTTTCTTAATAAAGACAGTTTAAATGAATTACTTTTTTAATAAAATATTTTTTTCTCAACGTACATCAAAGGCACAGCAGGAAGAGATTCCTATTTCTTATCAGGATTTAAAATAATCTCGTGAAAGATCACCCTAAACTAAAAATTGTTAAGAAGGTTTTCATAATGCTTTGAATGCAACCTCTAAAAGCTGCGTGTAGGTACTGTATGCAGTGCACGTCGTACACCTATGCCAACATTCGTTTTTTCAAATAAGCTAATTTCGGGTGCTCATTTTGACGTGCGCTTTTTACCTGTCGGCAAATACGTCACGTTTTCTGCTTATTTGCGTGTGCCTTTTTGCGTGTGATTTTGTCTTATTTATTTTTTTGTGTTGGTGGACTTCATCTAGATGGTATTAACCTTGTCAATTTAGGTTTCACTCGAAATTTTAGTGGTCAGGCAAAAAGTTTTATTTTAGAGGGTAAAGGAAATTTTGAAAACTGCCAAAAGCTAATGGAAGAGGTGGTTTACAAAAATGACAACCCAACAAAATGTTCGCCCTCTCCATGCAGTATCGGTTAGTAAAAGTGTCAAGTCAAGTGCAATTTTTGGTGATTTTGTATGTCTCAATATAGACATATACTATTTGATATATTTATTGTTAATTACCGTATATCGTTAGAAAAATCGGTATCCAATGATATCGGTATCTAACGGTATCACAGTACGTTCCGCGTTCGTTAGCTTACCGTTTAATTTTTCTGACGGTAGATCGTAAATCATTGTCAGGTTTTTTGAGTTCAAAACCAAAATTTTTTACATTTTAAGCATGCTTAAACAAAAGAGCTTTTTCCGATATTTCTATACCATCTTAAGTTTTTATTCTCTGGTGCACTAACACGTATCAGTCACGAACGATTGCAAAGAAATAATACCCATTGTCATACTGGCACCGAATTGTATTGTGAATATTTTCTTGGTTGTCAGGCGAGTTCTACCAGCCTCCAATACCGAATGACATGAAGTTTGTAGGCATCGGAGGTTTCAAACATGTCTACAAAAAACTCAAACTCTTACAAGATGATGGCAGCTTAAATCTTGATAAAGCTTTAAAAAAAGTAGAAGAATTTTGCTCCACGGTTGGTTGAGTTCGTTGTGTGCTGTTAGGGTGTTGCCGGTGATCATGTCGAATGATTGGGATACGATTTATCATTGATGCATATTAATTGTTTGCATTAAGTATATCAACTAATGCTTATTATTTCAACTTCTTATTTTTTTGTGCTAATAATTTTTTTTGCTAGAAATTAACAAATCCCATACAACAAACACTTTCTCCCAAAATTGTATAGTTTTTATTATTGTGTGTCTAAATTGCAAAGTTTTTTTATGAATCTATCTCAATAACGATGATGATGAACATATATTTGTGTTGTTCAACAGTATTTTCAATGATTTTTTTTATAAGGGCAAATCAGATGTCTCAGAAGATTACTCGAAACCAGATGACAAAACCTCCATATATGCCAGCGATCCCTGCCAGTTCGGCCTCTACTTTGACACACTGTTGACACGTGGGTATGGATTTGACCGACAGACCTCCAACATTTTTATCGATCCAGATATTAGTTGGTGTCCTTTTGCTTTCTGTCTATTAGTGTCCTTCGTCTAACAAGTTGTTCTAACTGTGTTGCTACTTTTCAATAATGCTGTTATAAATAAACTCCATTCAGTGACATATTTCCCGTGCTTCCAACTGTGATTTTGTATAACACACGAATAAATGTTTCCTCTTCTGCTTGTTATTGTTATGATTGTTATTAATGTGATAACGATGTGAATGTGATAATTACGATTGTTGAGATGATGATAATGTGATAATTATGTTTATTGAGATGATGATAATGGTGATAATTACGATTGTTGAGATGATGATGAAACTAAAAATGATGAATCGTTTAAACGAAATAAAATATGAAACAAAACGCAAATGAAAATTATTGTGATGATGACGATGATGTTAGTTATGATAATAGTGGCAGTGAAGATGATGTTGTCGCTGTTACTGGTGATGATTCATATGATTAAAATAACATAATAATAATAATAATTATAATAATAAAAATCATCATCTTTATCGTAAACAAGGTGATTTTTATCACTCCAGATTGGACTTTGGGAGCTGTATTATATGAGAATGAGAAAAACGTGTATGGGTTTCCTCCACCATCATCCTCTTCATCATCTCCATCGTCATCATTCCGGAATGCAGGCCATGCCATCATTATGGTGATGAAGTTTGTGTCCATCCCTACTGCCTCGTACCTCTTCATGAGTTTCACGCGCTCAGTGTAGTGGTTTTTAAAAAATTAAAAAATTTTTTTTTTATCAAATGATTATTAAATGATTTTTAAAATGGAAAAAAAATGCACAGAGAAAGCTTTTTGAATTTATTGAAAGGAGAGAAGACAACAAGCATTTTTCTAAATGCATTTTTCGACAACTGAATATTTATCTAGATACACTGCATATGGATTAATAATGATCATTCATTTTTCCAGTATATTTATATATATATACATACATATATATGCATACATATATAAACATACATATAAAATTATAATATTTATGACATTAATATTATTATCCAAAACAATAACAACATCAACAACATCAACAACATCAACAACGACGACAACAACAATAATAATGATGATAATAATAAAAACGCAGCACACCGAAAATGAACATGTGACGCACGTGATCATGTGAGTGAGTGAGAATGAGTGAGTGAGAATGAGTGAGTGAGTGGGTGAGTGAGTGAGTGGGTGAGTGAGTGAGCGAGAATGAGTAAGTGAGAGTGAGTGAGTAAATTAACAACTTCTATCTTAACGTAACCGAACTGCAACTGACAAAATGTGATTCTTCAATAAATACAACATCGCGTTTTTTATTGATACAAACGTGTGTTTACGTCTATGTGTGGTTATGTATGCTCGATACTGAACTATACACTACATACAAGTATCATACGTAGTGTACACCAAAGTCACATTGACGTATTATGATTGATATACCAATTGCAGTATATTTGTATGAGTGTGTGCTAGTACACATTATTTTGTGTACATGAATATAACAATTGTGTATACGTAAGCAGATTAACGTAATGCATGCATGTATGCATGAATGTATAGATGTATGCATGAATGAATGAATGTATGTATGTATGTATGCATGAACCCGTTTTGATGAACAAGCCATGGTTAGGCCTGCAATCGTTTCCGAGTTCAACTTTTATCTATGTCTATGTATGTATGTATGTATGTATGTACGTATGAATGTATGTATGCATGCTTGTATGCATGCATGCATGTATGTATGTATGTATGTATGTATGTATGTATGTATGTATGTATGTATGTATGTATGTATGAATGTATGTATGCATGCTTGTATGCATGCATGCATGTATGTATGTATGTATGTATGTATGTATGTATGTATGTATGTATGTATGTATGTATGTATGTATGTATGAATGTTTGTATGTGTGTATGCATGTACATGTTTATTAGCGTTGGTTCTGACATTTAAACAATGTTGGCGATAAATACATTTGCAACGTAACATGTTTTGTTTTTATATCATTGTATGAAAGCTTAACTTCTGTGGAATTAACTGACTAACATTTGCATGTTGAATGTGCGTCTTTGTCAGAGACAAAACGAATGAATGAATGGATGAATGAATGAATGGGTGAATGAATTAATGAATGGGTGAATGAATGAATGAATGAATGAATGAAAAGAAGAATGAAACCGTCGAAGATGAACGAGTGAATGTTCAGAGCACAACTCATCGATATACTTGAATGTAGTTAAAAATTTAGCAAAAAATTCGTTTCCAGTTTATTTCACGATCGTGATGAAAAATTAATCAAAAAGTAAAAAGAAATTATTCAACGAGTCAGAAACTGTATAACACCAGTAGGGATTGCACGATTTCATTTTTTTTTATTCACTCACTCACTCACTCACTCACTCACTCACTCACTCACTCACTCACTCACTCACTCACTCACTCACTCACCCACTCACTCACTCACTCACTCAACCACTCACTCAACCACTCACTCACCCACTCACTCATTCATTCCTTCATTCATTCTTTCATTTTTTCATTCATTCATTCATTCAACGTGTCAACCAACCAAAAAACCAACCAACAGACCAATCAAATAATTAAT